GGACCTCGTCAGTATGACGGTTGCAGTGCTCAAAATGGAAAAGGAAAAGAAATGAGAAAGATGACAGGAAAAAACAGAACTGCTTATAAATTTTTCCAGTTCTGTGTTGTGAACTTACCAAAATGTAAGAGATAACTCGATGATTATCACATCCATAAATTGGCTTCTTCCTGTCACTGAGACTCTGTAGCGCCAGCTTTTGATATTCCATTCGTTCGGCTGCCAATTTCTCATCCATAATCTGCAATGTTTTTTTTAAGAATCTAACAAATCGGGGAAAACTTTCAACAGAAACATGCGAAAATGGCTAAAATTGAATAACCGAGCTACTTGGGATGAATATCTAGGCACTATTTTCATTTTAATATTAGTTGGTATATGTTTATGAAAGATGTAAGGAATTAAAAAAGGAAAAAGTGAATAAGATTAAAATCTGAATAGGAATGTTTCGGTCCATAACATGTATGCGGATGCCATGCAGATTCATAAGTTTCAACTAGACGTAGGATACAACGGACAGTACCGTAATGGTTAATATGTAATGATTCGAAGGAGAGGGGCAGCTAGGAGAACGAGCCTCAAAAAACCCGCTATGGAACGGTCTCGATCAATCCACGAATTAACCCCCGCTCCCCCCTTTTCCCAAGAAGAAAATCAACAGAACATCATGCGACGTCTTATGGCAAGGGACTAAACCAAATACAACTCATAGGGATGGTAAAACAAAAATTTTGCAAAGCGCAGGAGAAGCTGCCCGAAATATGGGCGAATTTAAGTTTATCGTTAACAGAAAACAATCTTCACAAATCACCTTCTCCCAGTTTTACACATCGCAAAACGGTCTATTCCTTCTTTGCTTAGATTCCGGGTACAAACAGATTAAAAGTCCATTTCCCCTCCCCCCGTCCCTCCCCCTTCTCCCCTAGCAGTACTGCTCATTTCAGCTCTTCTGATCAGCTTCGCAGGCATCATTTTCATGGATATGGTATCTGAAGAGTACAAACCACTGAGTAAATCACTTTCTCGTTACAAATATCTTTGACACACCCTAAGGCGTGGCCAAAGCGCAACTCGAAGCCTTATTTAGGTATTATCTCTTACCACGCATTTATGTTATCAAAATTTCCAAATGGTGGATTGGGGGCTGCACTGAAGATTCCCACCTCAATCCACACCGCATACTGTCTGTGTTTGCAGCTTAGGGATGAAATACAGACAGCCAGTTTCACATTTATCTTCCCTACATGTCCTCCTTACATCTTCTTAACTTTTTATAATACACATATGCGTTTCACAATCTATTTCATTTCCTCTTTTCGTGGTCTCACGACGATCCATTCATTCATTCATTCATTCCCAGATGGACGATCAATATTTTGGAAAAATTTCAACTCCTGCTGACCAGCTAGTTACTTATGCATTTTATGCTTTTGCAACAGCTGCACAAAACGCATACTGCGATGGGCCTGTGTGTATGTGTATGTGTATGTGTGTGTGTGTGTGTGTGTGTGTGTGTGTGTGTGTGTGTGTGTGT